CAGGGTGCGGCAGGCTGTTGGAGCGGGACAGGGAGCGGGGCAGAGGGCCTGGGCCTGGCGGCGTGGCACCCGGTGTGCCCGGGAGGGTGCGGGCCCGCGCCAGGGGTGGGTGCGGGGACAGCACGTCTTCCGTGAGGTCCCACAGGCAGAACTGCGTGTCCTGGCCGGCTGAGCCGAAGCGGTAGGTGACCGAGCCAGCCCTGGGCAGCGGGGACAAGGGCGCCCCGCTGCTGCCACCACCGCCAGGCCCGGCCTCGGGATCCTCATCATCATCCTCGCCACTCGGGTCCCCCGTGTCTCCGTTGTCGCCGTCCCTGCTGGCCGATGCCGGCTCCTCGGCCCGCGTGGTGTAGGGGTCAAAGGCCACGGCGTTGACCCACGACTTGTGGCCGTGGCCCCGGGCCACCACGCGGCCCTCGGTGAAGGACCACACGGTGACCAGGTCGTCCTCGCCTCCCGTCACCACGTAGCGGCCGTCGGGGCTCCAGCACACGCACAGCAGGCCCCCGAAGTAGCTCTTCATGAGTCCCCGCAGCAGCATGGAGTCGAAGTGGAAGACGCGCAGGCAGCCGTCCTGGCTGACACAGGCCAGGTGGCGGCCGTCGGGGGAGAAGGCGAACTCGTTGAGGGGCCCCTCACCCACCGCCCACTTGGCCAGCGGGTTGCGGGGCGCCTTGCTCTTGGCCGCGTAGACGGCGAAGCCCTCGCCCTGCTTCAGCAGGCTGTACTGGGGCGGCGCCGAGGCGCAGGGGTGGCTCACGTTGTACAGGTACAGGTGGCCGCTGGCGTGAGAAGCCAGGAACAGGTTCTCTGACTCCGGCAGCCACTTCAGATAGGTCACTTTGGTCTTGTCAATCAGGCGCTGAGGGGGAGACGCAGGGCGTGGGCAAAGGCGATGCTCCCTGACCCCCCCCCACCCCCTACTCCCCAAGACCCTAAGCCAGCCCCAGCCCACCAAGCAGAGGAAGAAGGGCAGCCTGGGAGGTGGCCGCAGGGAGCTCCAGGGGGCCTCAGTGGCCATCTTCGGTAGAGGAACAGTCTAGCCTGCGGGAGGCCTGCCCTGCGCCTATCTAACCCTGTCTCCATCTTCGCTAGGTCAGGCTGAACGTGAGACGCATATTCACCCCACATCCACATGGGCTGCGAGGCAGGCCCATGTGCTGCGCAGGCGCAGAGCGGCGCACAGCCTTGCAGAAGCTCCCAGCAGCACAGGTGAACGGCACCCAATCTGCCAGCGGCCAGGTCCAAACCTTCCAGGCTCCTCCTTTCTCACAGTTCACGTCCAACCCAACAATTCCTGTGGGCCCACCCAGCCTTCCATGGACAAATAAGGTGGGGGGGGGGGGCGGAGCCCCGGCCCACCTGCCAGTCCTCAAGGCCTGTGACCTGGCCCAGCACTGTCACCTAGACCATCAGAGATGCTGTTCAACACAAGTCAGCCCCCAGCACGGCCCTGCCCCACTCTGCAACTGCAACCCAGCTTTGCTCAACTTCTAGGCAGCCAGCGATGGACCAACCATTTCCAGGGGTCCAGAGTGACACCCCACACGCTGGGCGCTGAGAAAACTGGCAGTCCTGCACCATTTCCACCTGGCTCAGAGTCTGTTCCTCGGGATTCCGTGTCCCTCCAGGTGGACGCCACAGGTACCTCCTTGCCAGGACTCACCTACGTCCACTGTCCTCTCTTCCTTTCCTCCATGGCTGCTCCCAGCCTGTGGAGTGTCCTGCTTCAGTGCAACCTGCCTAGCTGGTCCCTCTAGTCCAACATCCCTCCCCAGGGGCCTTCCGCCTCCTCGGGTCCTCATTCCAATGTCACCTCCTGACCCTATGTCACATCACCAGGTGGCCGTTCATTCCTCCTGCCCTCCCATGCTGTGGTTTCCTCAAGCCCTGGGCACTTGCTGGTCGAGACACTGGGCCTCCCTGTCTGTCTCCACAGCCTGCCTGACCGTGAGGCAAGGACAGGCCCTTCTGTCCCTCAGCTGGCCAAGAAGTGCCTGGAACCACGCCGGGATCAATCACTATTTTGTGAATGAAGAAGCTCATGCATTTTTAATCCATTCACTGTCCCCTCCCCTCGCTCCCTTCAGCCACTGGCTCACTGAGAACGCTTAAGGAACACTTCCTCTGGGTCAGAGACAAAAGACAGGCCCAAGAGCAGTCCCTGCCCAGGAGCAGGTCGTGGCTGGCACCTCCCTGGGAACCAAGCTGGTCCACACCAAGCGCTCTCCCTGGATGATCTCACAACAGTCCCATTTTGTGGAAGGGGGAAACGGAAACCCAGGAAACAATCACCTTCCCAAAGCACATAATGCAGCAGGAGCTGGAATCCAAAAACCATTAAACATGAATGGCAAGAGCATTAAGAGCCCTGAACAGCTCCCAGACTCAGGTCTTCCAACCTGAAAAATGGACACCACGATTTTTCTCTTCTGACAGTTTGAAAGCAGGGCCTCTCATTCCCTAACGCTCTACCCTTTCAACCACATCTCCACTTTGGGCATTTGAGTGGATAACTGGAGATAAGACTTTCACAAGCTTGTCTGCCTGGGCTGGCTTTGAACTGTGATCCTCAGATCTCGGCCTCCTGAGGATGATAAGCCTGAGCCAGCCTCGCCACAACAATGTCTAAACCATCCTCTGACAAAACCTTAAGTAGTACAGTGTTCAGTGAGCACAGGGTTAGACCAGCAGAGAGTCTGGGTGTGGGGAGCACGGCTAGCACCCCTCTTCCCAGAGAGCTGTGTGGGAGGAAGCCTGCAATCACCTCCTCATTGAAGAGCTTGCTGGTGTCCTTCTTGATGAGGTCCAGGTACTGCACCTGGCCAGCCGAGAAGCCCACCAGCAGGGAGATGGTCTCCGTGGCAGCAGTGAACTGGTTGAAGTCATGGCAGGTAGGCTGGGTGCCCTTGTAGATCCGCTTGTCGATGGGCTTGTTGAGGTCAATGGACTTGGGGGTGGGGGGAGAAGAGGTGTATGGGTTTAGACCACTGAGAGGAAGGAAAAGGGAGTTGAGGTTGGGGAAAACCACTAACAGGAAGTAGGGTTCAATCCCAGAGGGAAGTGGGTAGATGGAGAGGGAGGGAGGGGCAACCACAGACAGGAAGGGGACTCAAATCACAGACAAGCTGGGGAAAAACCTAGACCACAAGCACATCTCTTACCCCCCCCCCATTTGCAGTGTGCCTCTCCAAAGCTGGCCTCTCCCCCGGGATTTTGGGATACCCTTGCCCACAGCACCACGATGGGGTTCCCAAGCTTCCATTCTTTTCCAAGCCTCCCAGAGTCCATAACCTCAGCAACTTTCCTGGGACTTAACCTCGGGATCACCGAGGTTAAGACTCTAAGGCCCAGCATCCCTTCAAACCTGAGGGGACCTCAGTCACAATTAAGAGACCCACCAACCCTCACGGTCTCCATCTCAGCGTCTCCATCACTGCATCCCACCCCTCTGGACCCCTTTAGAGATAAATGCCCCTTGAGGGAAGACTTCCCAGCGTAGGGCGACTCCATCACCTCCATCACCCTGTCAGCCTAGAGACCCTCATTACCTCCACACCTCAGTTTTCTCTAGGACTGTATTCACTGTTTCCTCTAAGACCCCATCATTTCCAGCATCTCCTTGAACTCCTAGGCTTCAGGAGCTTCATCATCCCCGGCTACACACACAAACACCTCCATTCTAGGTTCTCCTCCAGCTCCTCAGTGCCTGTGTCACCCCAGGATTCCTCGTTGGCCTCCCAGATCGTCTGCAGACACTCCCACCCCAGCCCCAACGCAGAGGAACCCCCCCCCCATCACCTTCTGGAATCCTGCAAGACTACGCCCTAGGATGTTCATCACAGCTAGGGTGTTTCCTCTAGACCCCAAGATTTGGGGGGGAACCACCCCCCCACACACACACGTAACTCAGCTACCCAGGCCCCCACGATGCGGGGCCTCACTCACCCGCTGGCTCCCGCGGCGGCAGCAGCCCGGGTAGAAATAGAGCTCGCGGCCCAAGTTGAAGCAGACGCGGTCCCCGCCGGCGCCCAGCCCCGCGGGCGTGGCGGGCGGC